AATTATAATAATGTTTTTATAAAAAAATATCGGGATGAAATATAATGTTTCGAATTAAAATAAGGAAATCCAATATAATTCTCGAATGAGATGATCCTCTATGATTTATATTACGTGTTTAAATATTCTGCTTCTTATATCTGATGATGGATATCCCAATTTATTTGTACCATCCGATTGTTTTTATTTTACACGAGAAAAAAAATATTATTATTAAATATTAAATATTTCCAATATTAAAACAAAAAGTTTGAAAATTCATGAATCTTTTATGAAATATATTACACGGCTTTCCACGGTTGAAGGCATTAATATGGAAAACAGTGGTTGGTTAAGAACTGGGGAAAGGGATTCGAGGAAGGATAAAACTGTAAGAAGAAGGAAACTTCTCTTTCCACGGTTAGAAAATTCACGCGTGCACTATGTTTTCATAAATCTGGAAAAGTTTTTCGGCTTACAGACGAAAAGAAAGCACAAAACCACGTCGCACGACGTAAGAATAGAAATATTCGTTTCGAAGTTCAGCCGACCTTGTGGGAGTTCGTCGAGGAATCCCCGAGGTTACATAAATTCTCTCCTCCACGCAATATTATGCGATTCTCCTGTATCACCGTACGCTGAATTATTAACGTATCCAATAAATTATAAATGCAAGGATTAATAATGGAGGATTTTGGGTAAGGAGATTTACACCGGTTGATGATTATGGATCATTCATTTTTGACATCATGATTGCCATTGGTACATAAATATTTCACCATTAGTTTTGAATTATTTATTCTTGGGATTTTATTTAAAAATTTACTTTTGATAAAATTAATCTCTTTTATATTGAAAATAAAAAAATAATTTAGTTTGTCTCGGTTTAATCATTCTTAAAGAAATTAATTAAAAATCTAATTATATTTGGTTTAAAACTCTTTCTTAAGCTTCTTTTAAAAATTTAGAATCTTAAAATATATAAAAATATCATATTAATATTAATAGTAAATTAAATAATATAAAAATTTTGAAACATGGAAAAAAGAATCAAAGTATTGTATGAGATATTTTCAACATTTGATATTTCTAAAATATTTGCTGTAGATTATTTTAAAAAGATTTTTTTGGATGTGATAGTAGACTGGTATGCATATAAATATGATCAAGTATACATTCTGCAGAGAGTTCATCAAATATTACTTAATCAGGTAATTATTGTGTGAACAAAGTATTATTTAAAATGTCGAATGGCAGAAAACCAACAGAGAAGAAACGATAGAATTATAAAAGATAAAAACGTTTGATAATTTCGTGTGATATTTGTAACATGTAATCGATTTTTAAATTATGATTAATTCAAAATATTATACGAAACTTCAGAATTCATACAAATGATAATTATATTCTACGTAATTAAAACTTTATTGGATAACTTTGTTATTGAATAATTTAGTTGCAAGAAATTGTGTGAAAATTTTAATAACCCATCATTTATCTATATAAAATTTAAAGTTAGATAATCATAGTAAATTAGTTTACGTTTGGATCAAATTTGGGTTAAATTTGGATTATATTATAAGCGTAGATTATATTTGAGTTGTGACATAACAAGTTTACCTTAGATTCGGATTTCTATTATGACATAGAGTCCATTAGTTCCCATTTAATCACCAAAATTAAGCTATGTCAATCACACTTAGTACATGGATGAATGTTTAGGAACACCATGTATTGTTGATGATGATCCACTTTAAAGTGGAGGTTCTCAACGTCTCTCATCCGATATACAAATCATACTTATATACGAATCTTCATTTAAATATAAAAATCATAGAAATAATCTATTTCTAAATGATTGTAAAAAAACAGACTTCGAAATGAATGAATAGGTTTTAATTGCCTATTACTCTATCACTTCGGGATACGACGTCGTCGTGGGGACTCATTACATCTGTTTGTCAACCACTTCCATTGTAGATCTTCTGGAGAAGACAGGAAGGAAAAAAAAAAAAACATTTTTGTGTGTGTGTATCTTTTGCAGGTCGGCCAGAGCCTTGCCATGCGATGTCGTTGCAGAACCCCAGACTTCGACATTACAGGTCGAATCGTCAGACCAGATACACTCTGATGACAGTTTTGTTCTCGTTTTTGAAACTCGTTTTTTCACAGTTTTATTATACATATATATAGTATATATATACGCTGATCGATACGAGGGCAGACACGGCTATATTTTTTATCTCTCTTTATTATCTTTCTCTTTCGCTCTTTCTCTCTTTCTCTCTTTCTCTCTTTCTTTTCCTTTCTTCTTTCAAGTTTCTTTTTATAATCATGCACAGGATGTGGCGCAGAGTTATTTCTTTGGGGTGAAATCGAGAATGAAATTATTCGTATTAATATTCGAGCATGGTATGAATTATTTACTTTTGTATATTTTATAAAAGGATATTATGAATTATTTTTATCATATGAAAATATGAATCGTTTTTTTCTTTTTTAGGATATAAATTTATAAAAAAATTTTTTGCAATCAACTGAGTCTCATTTTGTTTGATGTAACTTAATAAATAAGAACAGACATTTTTATGTATTAATTTTTGGATTTGTGTTTGGCTTTCAGATTTAGTGTATTTATAAATTGCAATGAATAATTCATATCTTCATAAGTTTTGTTTAAATGATGCTTCAATACAAAGTAATAAATTCAAATATAGCATAGCATCTGAATATTAATTCGAATACCTGTGCATAAAGATCAGTTTTCGAGAAAAGATAATGTCGAAAATTTCATGCATTTCGTTTCAATATGATTCAATTTGCTGCCGATATATCGTTTTTATAAAAAAAAAGTTTAAAAACAAAAGATAAAAAAATAAAATATTTAATATCAAAAATTTAATTAAAAATTTCATTTCTCCGATATTTTACTGGAAAATGTATACATAAAATTTTTTAAAAACAATCAAACGTTTATAAATTTATAGATATTGCAACATCATTCCAATACGAAAGATAAAAAAAAATCTTTTTCATTTTCTTTATCTAAAGAAAATAACAAATTCTAAGATGGAACTTTCGTGGAAACTTTGCAAAGTACTCACGAGAATATCCAGTTTGCAAGAAGTTCGTATAATATTTTTTATAAATACATACTTATATCGAACTTATAAAGTCGGAATTAGGAAAAGATTGGTTAAAATAGGACTGCAGTTTGCTCGAGTCGTAGAATGGAAAAATTTGTCGTACAAGTGAACTGAACGTGAAAAGATTCCTTTCTAAAGATCCTTTCAATTTCAAAAGAAGAATCAAATTTTTCTTATACAAATAATTTTATATTCATTCAAGCATAATGCAAAAACATTGCAACTTGGCTTGAACATACGTATATAAATATATTTGAAATAGAGATTTTGAAAATGTAGAAAGAATTCGAGATACTGAATTATTTTTTATTTTTTAAAAATAACTTGATTTTGTGGAGATAAAATAAATTAATAATTTTTGAAATAGTTTATATAAATTGAAGAGAATCTTGTTTTCTTTAATTTTTTTATTTCATTTGAATAATTATTCGTTTCATTATTTATTCTTTTTTTCTTTTTCTATATTCGATCACACATAATTTATATTTCTAATAAAAAATAATTATGTTTACATTAAAACAATTGTTTTTATGCAATTGTTAATATATAAATTATTTCAACATTCATTTAAATAAAATTAAATAAAATCACTATATACACATAATATATATAATTATTATATAATTATTATCTAGTTTAATTAATGTTCAAACTCGTTGCAAATATCGTAGCACACGATACGTAAAACTTGATTACTATGCCGGCCTGAATTTTCAATTTTCAAATCCGTCCCATTCAAAGCAAATTGAATCATACTTAAATGCCAAATTCTCTGACGAATCAAACGGTCATTTTCGACACGATTCCTCCCCGTGAACGAATATCACATTTTCAACTTGTTCACCGACGAAGAGTGGCTGCTTTATCTCCGTGAAAACTTGTTTCCACGACCTGTGCACTGGTTAGATACACGAATACACGTGTACATATCTCGTTTCCGCTGCATCCACGCTTTTGGAATGATGCTGGCCGACGCGAATGCCAGCCCTTTAGCCACGTATCTGCGTTACATATCGTACCTCCATTATGCCGGAGTATTGTTCTGTTTGGCGATCGTTTGCCGGCACATCCATTAATCGGGAGAGTAATTTTTTTCAAAAAGAAAGAAAAAAAAAAAAATACGAGCAGGAGCGTGTCCCAGACGATTAAACGCGCTCCTACTCTAATTTTCGCTTTGCGTATTTTGAAATATTGTGTTGTATGAATTAAAAGGAACGTGAAAAGTATTCGTAGAAGTATTGTTTTGTTCATCAGTAAATAAGTTGATCGAGCGAGAAGTTGATGGATAATGTAAAATAAATTTTTTTCGAATGTGTTTGTAATATTTCTTGGATCTTTTTTTTTTTTAATTTATACTCGAAAGCGTTAAATATTTTTACAAAAATGATCGAACAAGATTATAATTATTTTCAAAAGATTAAAATAGAATAATTCTTAAGAGCAAATATTAATATTTCAACGAGATAAAAATAATATTATAAATTTTTCATTTTGAAAAGAATAGGATAAATATTTATCAATGTCGAATTCCATCAACCTCCTATCCACAATTTTGAGTAGTATCGTAGTAGTTTGCTCGAAAAGTGGACTCGATTACGCTTCATCTTCCGTTCATTCTCCTTTTCTGATCGCTGGAGAAGCGGGTCTCGTGACCCTGTCAAGCATGAAAGTGATCCTAGAAAATCCACGTAGAGGGTAGCCAAGAAAAACCACGACCTCGATCATCGAGTGTCACTTCACAAACGCTCTGTTGGCATGGCCTGGATTTCACGTTTGAAAATCTATCGTTGAGACGTTGCACCCTTTCACATTGAGTTCATTATATTTGCCCATAATCGAGATTTATCATTTTATCTGTGGATATTTCGATTTCAGAAGCATGACAGCGATCTGTTTCGTGTGTAATCTACCGATCCTGAGCCACCAGGTCGGCCTGGTGTGGCAAGGTGGAAATGGATGGGACGATCTTATGCGGGAACAGGTCGAGGAATCCACCTTGAAACAACGTCTTGGTGAGTGTTTCAAATTTTTGTTTTATTCATTATTTCTATTATTATTTCATATTTTTATCATATTTAATAAATCATTACTTAATCATAGTAAATAATAAATCGTGTAATAAATCACTATTTATTAGGTAGAATTATAAATATTCGTTCAATAATTACATCATTACATCATTAAATAAAATTCGTTTCATGGCAATCTACTTACGAAATAGCCTCTGAAACATTAACGCAATTTCATATACAATTCTATTAATAAATAGAGCAGAACAAATTTCACCATATTTCATTTCGTCCCGTTCATAAAAAAAATTCCCAGAGGAAAAAATTAATTTTTCCATCTTTTAAACCCGACCACCGTATTACAACGTGAGGAAAACTTCATAATTAAATCTCACTCTTAAAAATTCGTCAAGGCATACATTACACCGCGATTCTTTCTTTTTTTTCCTCCGAAAATCGCTTTTCTCGTTCTCCATAAACTTTCCATAAATTTTTTCATAACAAAAACTAAGAATAAAAATTAAAATTATATAATAATAAAATAATTATATAAATTATATAAATATGATAATGATAAATATGGATTCAGGAACCGGAAGACGCGATTCGGCGACACAGATCACTTCCATATCCCCGCCAAACGAGCCGCAAGAACCTGCGACCAATCAACGTCGTCGGC